AGTTATTAAGAACCGATTATTGTATTATTTATTTATCATTTTAATGCACTCTGATAGAATACCTGGGGGATCAGGGAGAGTGGTTGGCTTTCCTGGATACAGAGAGGCTGAAGATTGCATATACTGGAGTACTGATTTGAGATCTCTGAGTCAATGTGACTTGCCCCAAAGAAAAGGAAGGAAAGACAGCAAGGGAGCTGAGATTTCAGTTCCACTCTTCTGGAACTGTCTCCTCGAGTCCCAGAACAGTGGAATTATAATGCTTGTCTCTTTTTTCTTCCTTTCTCCAATTGTGAATTTGCCTTTTTACATTTTTCTTCAACATCTCCCCACTTACACCCTTTCCCTGATCCCTCCTGTTCCAGGTTGCTAGTTCTCCTCTAATGCCATTCTAGACACTGGGCTTCCATTCCCCTGAGGAGAGACACCTGGATCATATGCAGTTCTGGTGACCTTTAGTTATGTATAAAGATTCAGGACTAAAAGACCTATACCTACATCTACAAAAAAAGCTGACCCACACTTCCTTTTCTTCCAAACGTGTTATAGGAACTGTAATATAAAAAAAAATCCCACCAAGTCCAACCAGATCCGATTATTAGGATCCCACAATCTCAGGACATTTTCTGAGTATGAATTTAAGGACGTGTAGTAGATTATTTTAGATTAGTAGATTAGATTATGCTTGTTCCATCCAAGGATAATCTGCTACATAAATGACCTAATATGATATGGGTCATCAGTTTTAAATATTATGTATCTTATTCCCTCAGTTTTGTATGGTGGCAATTCCTAAGCCTTTCTGTAACAAACACCTCTTGTAACCTTGGAAAATCCCAGGTTAGTATGCTTTGTATAGTTCAAAATAGTTATTTTTTGAAATAATGACTTTTGAAACCATTTCACATTCATTTTTTGTAATTCTGAGGCTTTCATTAAAAAGAACTATAAAATCCACTATTTGTGGATGCTGACATACAGATCTGAAAATTGTTTTGCTCTTGGCATGTAATCTGCTTTTTCAGATTTGTTGGAACATTTTAAACCATTCTTACCATAGAAGGGAAAATAATCCTTGAATGTGGTCTCACTATAGTTGGAGCATTAATGCATTGATTGTTTGAGATCAGTGAGAGAGATATACTTGACAGAAGGTTCTTTGGATTTCCTTCACCTTTATTTCCTCTGTTTCAAAATCATGTTTTCCTTTCTTTTCCATCACTTGGTAAGGAATAGGGAGTAAGAAATACAGTGGAGATTTTAGTACAGACTACAGCCTGGAAAACATACAAGTAAGGCTGGGGTTTTTTTACAAAAAAATGCCTTTTTCATTCCATGAATGAAGCAAAGAAAGAATTAGTACTGTTTTGGAGAATGTAAAGGGGAAAACATGAATTTCTTCCAAAGACTGTGAGTATTGATAGACTTTGATTTCTGCCAACAGATAACTGGAGTCTCTTTTGCCTATTACAGATTTGGTTATCTGTTCTGAAACTAAAAAGAAATCAGCTTTTAATTCCACACATATATTTGAATGAAAATGAAAATGAAATGAGTAAACTTGTTTTGCTAAGTGTCCTCATTTTGATAGGTTTTCCACCTGCTGTAGTACTAGCAAAACATGAAGCAAACTTTATAATGTGGACATTAAATATTCAGTCCAAGTACTAATTTTAAGCATCTTCCAATTTTAATGCAGCTGTAAGCTGACGATGAAGTCCAAGCCAAGCTCTAATGTTACTGGCATAGCAAAAATGATGATTTTCTTTGCAACAACAATTAATGATAGATTCAAAAGTATTGTCAGAATTAAAGAAATTTGAACCAATTTGGCTCAGGTACATTTGTACTGACTCGATGATTCCAATGAGTTTGCAAGCCTGTAAATGGAGTTTCAACAGAAGTTCTGTTTTGTTTTGAAAGAAAATTGCATCTTATTGTGTAACTGTTCTGAACTGATGGAGTAGATGATCTTCTCCTTGTGACAAAGAACCAGGGCCACTCAGTAACCACCAAAGACAAGAACAAAAAAGCAGTATTGGGGGCATATTACAGAAAGATAACTGATGATAATGTGTTTTTGCTGGTACAGAGCAAGTCTTTAACAGCAGATAGTTATGATTGTAAATAGGTAGATAGAACTCCAATTCCAGGTATGCTGTACTGGCTGCAGTGGGAACCTACTGCATGATACAGCTGGACAACTTGAATTTCTGTTTTTGTTGCACATGCCTATCCTTCATTTCTGTTCTTAAAATACAGGGTGCTGATGACAACAAAAAGAGATGGATTCACAAGGATCTATAAGAATGTGAATTGTTTTCAAAGCAGTAGAGAGAAAAAGAGGGCTATTTTAGGAATAAAGATAATGACAGATGTCATGTATTCCCTATGTAACAAAAAAACCTCCTGGTATGGACAAAAAGGTAAGAAGTTACAACCAAATCTCAAAGACAAGCAGAGTCACAAAGGTGTATAGGTAAAAGTTCAGTCAAGTGTTCAATGAAGTTGTGCATCTTCACTTTCTTCTCATAATGTTTACTCCTCCCCAAGTTTCCTCTTTACAAAAGCAATTAAAAAATGCCAAGCCCATCCCAGAGAACGCAGAGGGAAAAATGGCAAAGCCTGTATTGGAATTACCTTTCCCAGATTAATTTCATAGGCCTTGCGAAAACTGAGTGAGCATTTTCAGTCTGATGAGAACATTTCCTCTGCCCAAATTCCATCCCTCTGAGCAGCTTCTGTTGCAGATTCTGGTTTCACAGATTCCCTCTTCTATAGAGAAAGGAAATGGAAGGATAATGAAAAGTTTATAAGGGTAGTCTGATGGGGAAGATAGGAAGACTGTGTAATCCTACAATATTAAATGTTTTTATTATTACACTCTTTGTTACAATTTTGCCATAGAGAAACTGCATTTTAAAGAAGAGAGAATTGAGTTCTACAGGCCAAACAGTATATTGCAAAATACCATATATTTGCATCTCGTAAGGTCTGGTGGAATAAACCTTGAAAGTGAAAGTCATCTGACTGCTCAGTCTTTTTCATTGTTCTCTACTGTTCCTTATTGTTTGTTCATGTTCAATATTTGTGTTTGAATAAAGTGCTTTTTCACAATCCAGAATTTTTAGTGCTTTGTTCCTGTTTCTGTTAGTACTTAAATTTATGTCCAAAATTTCGTCTGTTATTTTGTACTGCAGATGTGAACTACACTCACAACAGGCTATCTTCATTAAAGCATCCCTGGCTTGTATAACACTTTTTAATAAATTCCTCTTACTTTCAATAAAGGAATAATCACATACTCAACCAAATTCCATGTAAAGACAGCTGCTTGGTCATTGAATGCTCTCCAGCAGCAACATGGGCACTAAAGGGCTGGATTGGTGTTGGATGGAACCCAGTAGCAGCTGTGGGGTGAAAAGAGAAATGACCCACAGGTAATGCAGCTTTCTCTGAAGAACCAAAGGAGCACAGAAAATGCTCTCCATGCTCCAACCTTCTTCCTATTCAAGTGCATGGTGCAGATTCTCTAACAAATGGACATCTGCAAAAGGTGTTGTTAAGGGACATTGTTAGAAGGGCAGCAGCCTGCTTGCTGCTTGCAGGAAAGGAACCTGCATGATGAGCATCTTCCTGCACATGGATTAGAACCATTGCCCTGAATGGCCATAAAGATGAGCGACCAGATGAAAAATGTGCTCTAGTCAATGCAAATCTGAAGAATTTCAGTGTGTATCAAAGGAACTATTTCATTTATTTCAGTTACATTCAAATATTGAAAACACTGCAACATAGTCTTCTGCAGCAAGGCTTTGTAAATTAGTGTGCTTATTAATAAAAATTGAGCCTATGACTTAATCATCAACAATATAGAATGATGTAGAAACATGGTTTTTGTATTAAACACCTCTTCATTACTCCAGATGTATAGAAAATGGAATCCCCCAAATCAGGGGTCAGTACGAATGCAAAATCTTCATTTTTTATCAAAAAAGAAACTTGAAAACAGCATTTTTGCATGATGTTTTCTCTACATTTTTAAACCAAGACAGTGAAAGCAATCATGACCAGTCTGATCAGTGAACCTATAAAGCCACAGATGAGAGGGCATGTTCAACCCATGTGACATTGCAATTGCCATCATCAGTGATGAACAACAACAAAATCTTGTGCTTACATTAAAAACATCTAGCATTTGTAAAATAATGTTTAAATGTTTATGTCAATATTTTTTAGTGTTTACATCACTGCTTGAAATTAACTTTTGTTTCTGATAAAACTGTAATTAAAAGTTATATTTACAGAAAACAGCAAAGGTGGTAGGCATTTGAAATAACTTGTGATAAATGTGATAATCACTGTCATGGTTTGAAAGTAAACCAAAATCACATACATTCCTTTGACCTTTATAAGGAACACTGGGAGAAGGGAAGTAGCACTGCTTTATTCTGTAATGCCTCAGCACCCAGCACACAACCCTGATCAGTCCTGAAATATCTTCTGCACTAGCTATAAGAAATTTATTCCTCCTGTGTACTGCTCTCCCTTTGTTCATGAGCCTGTGTTAGGGATGTCTCCTGAAGGCTGAATTTACAGCGTTTCACAGTACCAATGAAAAAATCTGGATATAATGCCAACCTACCTTACCAACTTTCCTTATAACCAGTGCTTTATTTAGTATGAAGTTACATAAGTGAATGTCATATTGGTTAAAATTACAGAGGAAAGTAAGAGTTTGCTTGCTGACTCACCTGCCTTTGACATTTTGACCACTACTAGTATCCTTAAAAGCAGTTGAAAAGTACACGAAGTAAACGAAAAAAAAACTACAGCAAATTATTTCCAGTCACTACGAACCTGAATTATTTTTAAAGTGGTAGTTGACTGATGGAAATTTCTGTACTCTCCTGAGTGATCCAGAAATAAATCAAACAAACAACCCCATTTTGTATTTTTCTTCTTTTTTATATTTAGGACACCATATCAAAGGGTTTATTTCAGTACCATGGAAGCACTTTGACATTGGAGACACTGGTGTTCAGATGCTGATCATTCAATAGTTTATTCCAGTTCATTAAAAGTGTGACTAACAGGGAGTTTCCTCGACAGATTTCCCCCTCATATATCCTCTGACAAAACCTGAATGTTTTCCAGAATGGCAATATGAAACTTGGTGTCCTCAACTTTCACAAGTTTCACAAAATCTGTGGCAAACTGCCTTTGGTCTGTCACATTTAGAGTCTCAATCTCAGGCTTGCTGGCATTTACATGGAGGCTGGCAGCTTCGAAGCAGCGTGCCTGGAGGAAAAGGATCCCTGTAACATCAGTGGTACGTGGAGCCAGGGCAAAATCCAGCCTGACTTCCAAAGGCTGTTCCAGTGGTTTGAAGGCTGATACTGGTGGGTCTCAAAGCAGGGCACAGATAGCTCCTCTTGCCCAGGGTGTTTGTGAGCATACGGTAGGGATGTGGCAACCCATGTGGGCTTCCATCCCTTGGGATATTCCTCAGTGTCTGCCATCACACTGTGCCCTGGAACCTGCTGCTTCCCCCACCCAGGTGGGCAGATTCAGAAGGGAGTTTATCCTGAGGGCCAAAGAAAGAGGTTTCCCCCTAAATTGTTGCAGTGGGTCAGTATCATGGTGTCCCCGTTTATTTGGACGAGGGTGAGGATGTTGCTGTGGCAGCCTCCTGCCTCGCCAGCTTGTCGTCCCGGACCAGAGCAGGCACACCTTGGACAAGCTGGCCCAACTCTCCAGCAGGACACTGGCACAGTTGGCTGAATATAGGAAACAGCTCCTTCCTGGTGCCCATTCTGGGGCTGTGGGCTGTCCAAGGAGTGGGAGATGATGGGTGAGGGCAGGCCACGAGGGCCGCTTTGGGCTCGAAGGAAAAGGCACAAGATGGTGGCGGGGGGGCAGCAGCAGAGGCTGGAAGGGGCCTGTGCTGGGCGCCCACGGTTTGTGACATCACCAGAGCGGCACCGGGACAACCCCGGCGGGATGGGGGAGCAAACATTCTGTGCAGTTCCGAGAGGGCACTGTGGGATGAGGAGCCCTCTGTGAACTGGAGCTAGGTTCTGGCAACGCCACTGCAGTGAAGGCACTGGAGCGGGCGATGCACAGCCAGCATGGATGAGAACAGATATCCTTTGGCTGCTCTACCTCCTCCTCCTCTCCCTGTCCTGTGACAGCTGCTGTTGTGACACTCCCCACATGCCTCTTCCCCCCAGGCCTGGATCCAGCCTGGGCACACATGGGACCCCCAGATGGGTGTCAGGGATGGAGGGGGGCAGCCAGTCTGGTCAGCCGGGGCCAGTTTGATGTGGTTGGGTGGGCGCAGTGCTGGGCACACTCACTCCTTGAGGCTTCTTGGCATTCCCCATTGCTCCCCTCAGCCTCTTCCACATTTCCCTTCTCTCACTACACCCCTTTCTTCACCCTGACCACCTCCTGATTTCCCTCACACGCTGCCTTTGGCCCTTCTTGTCACTGCCCTCAGAGTCTTTGGGAACAGAGCAGAAGTCTCTCCTTGCACGCCTCAGAGCCCGCTGTGTTCCCAGAGACCAGAAGACAAGGATGTTCTAGAGTATGAGAAAAGCAAAGCACAAACTTCTTAGGTTTAACAGAACTAAACTTCTCCCCTTCTTTCCCCCATTAAAAGGCAATGTCGTGGGCCAGAAGTTTCCTTAACCTCATTTCTCTTACGTGGTTCTGGTCTGTCATTCAGAATGATTTCAAGACTGGGAATATTGATTTAGAGGGCTGCATGAGGCTGCTTGAAAAAATGCAAATACCTTTTGATGAGGCACATGTAACACATATTTTCAAGGTAAGGTATATGTAGGTTAAGTAATTAAATAAGTTTAGAAGTTCAGTTACATAAGTGTCTTACATTTGCTGACTTTAAATTTTTTTTTTGAGAAGTGTATTTCATGCTAGTAAAGTGTGCAAAATCAGCAAATAATTTTTGTTTCTGTGTAAAATAGATAACCAAGGGCTTGCATTAGAATCCAAATCATTTAAGTTGGAAAAATACTTTTAAGATCACTGAGTCCAACCATTCCAGCACTGCAAAATCCACTGCTAAACCATGTCCCTAAACACCACATGTACATGTCTTTTAAATACCTTCAAGGAATGATGACTCAGACATTTCCCTGGACAGCCTGTTCCAATGCTTGACAAGCCTTTTGGTGAAGAAATTTTTCCTAATATCTAATCTGGCACACCCTGAGGCCATTCCCTGCTGTCCTATTAAGTTGGAGAAAAGACCAACACTCACATAACGCCTTCTCTTTGCCACAACAAAATAGTATAAGGTGGAAAATACATAAGTTTTGATTCCCAGTTTTTTTGTAGCATGTCTGCACTTGGGAAAATTTAAAATATTCTAGTTTCATCTAATCCAGCTTCTGTGATCAAGCTAAGGAACCCAGATGGCCCTGTCTGATCCTAGACAGAGCCATTAGAGCAACTTCCTAAAAATCCTTTTGCCAGCAGGACAACATGGACTTATCTGAGCTGCTTGGGCTTCAGAACAACATAGATGAAGCACACTGTCATTCATTCTTCACTATACCTCTTCTCTAGGATTTAGGAGGTGTGCCTGAATGGATAGGAATTGTACTCTAACCCCCAGGGAAAGTATTTGGCCTAGAGTTATGGAAGTGTTTAAGAGATTTCTATAAGGTTACATGGTACAGCTAGGAATTGGACTTACTGATGGGTTAATTTGGTGTAGGGAAGAAAACTATCAGCAGGTGGGTATTGTCCCAGTGAGCAAATAGTGCAAATTTGAGGGGGCCTTAGGACATCCTGGGTTTACATGTTCTTCTGGTCCTTTCTAGAACTGACTCAAAAGCTCTATGATTTTTCTTTTTACCTCATTTTTCCCCCCAAAACAGTTGTCTGGTAAAACATTTCTAAGGGAATGAAACCAAGTGGCTATATATATATGTGTGTGTGTGTGATTCTTTTGAGAATTTTGTAACCAACTGGTTGACTCTGTCCCAGTTTGGCAGAGGAGAATTAACTATGGTGAGTCAGAAACTTTCAGGTCACGTCATGCTGACAGGCAGACAGGCAGAGGGAAGGCATTGTGTTTTCCTCACTCTGTTGTGTTCCTCTCTCATTGTTCTCTGCCTTGTCAAGCCAAGGTAAAACCGGCAGCATGAGCTCAACGCTTGCTAAAGAGGCTTCCTGTGGTTTTGGAACTTGCACTGCGCTGAGAGAATTGCCAACCATGAGAACTTAAAAGTGTTTCTCAGTTTCCTCAGTTTTCCATCTACTTTGCTTTCTGACAGAAATTTGAGAGAGGTGGCCAGTTGTGGGTAGAGAAGAGAGTAATTATTAGAGGAAGTGATCTGCAAAGAAAAAGTCTGATCTAGCTGTATTTAACATATTATGCTCAGTAGCCTGATCTAGATATTTGTAGCTGTACTTACAGGTATTCTTTGCCATTTGAGTGAGATTTTAGTGTATTCAGTAGCTTGGGGGTCCAAATATTTCATCAGTGTAATAATATGTAAAAATACAAAGGAGTCTGAAAGGGAATCTTGCTGACATTGTTGTAAGTAACTACACATCAACAGTTAATCAAATGGTTATACATAAAAAATACATTTTATAGAAAACATAGTTTGTAAAGAAAAATCTGCGCTTTTTTTCTTGTCTCTTCTCTTTAGTTTATTTTAATATAACGCTCCTTTGAACAATATCAGAATTATGAACATTAAGATTTTTAAGGAATAATACAGTTGCATATAATTCCTCTCAAGACTCTTTGTCTAGATACTTTTTCTGAATAGCAAACATTTGATGTGCGTTAATAAAAAGAAGAATAATAAAAATCCCCCAAGAAGAAATTTATAACTATCTTTTTATAGCAACATGATTTTTATAACTTTTAATTTGAAGAGCTCTCCTGTGGAGCATTGTTGCCTGTATTTCATGAAGAGGCAAGTGAGATAGAAGTTTTAATTTTTTTGCCCAGCTTCTCTCCATGTCAGTGCCCAAGTGAACATCTCCCAAGTCCTAGTAGACTATTTATTTCCAAAATAAGTTGGTATTTTCTTTTCCTCTTTAACAGTAATGAGCAAATTTGCAGCTTTCTTAAAGATGTTAAAAATCAGGTTGAAGGTATCAACCTTGAGGAATTTCTCAGTGATAGTGAAATGTGTGTAATTAGCCTTTGTATTGAAATATTTTCTGTTAAAAATGATCATTATTATTCTCTTTCACAAACTCAAAACAAATACTGAAGTACTGATATGTAAGATTTTTCACTAGAACTCCTCATGAAATTTACTTTAGTACTTGTTTCCGTTATCTAATATGTTCTGACCCTACTGCTGTATTTATTCAGAAGTACAGTAGGAACTACATTGTAAGGAGGTGGTAATGTATCATTAAACTTTTAGGTTTTAAGGTATAACTTCAAAACTAATCTAACTTAGCAATAATCAAAAGTCTTCATTAAAGTCTTGATCAAAGCCAGAGCTCAAGTAAGTAATTTCCTGTTTATGGACACTTTTGGGGAAGTAAGTGCCATGTTTTAGATGGTGAAATTTAGGCTCTTTGGTAGTCTCAGTTTGAGGAACCAACTATTAAGAATTTTGATCACCTTTCGGTGATAATCATTGAGGCAATTAATTGCCATTTATTTGTGACTTTTGTGAGCATTTTTGTCATCAAATTTCTCTTAATTTGGCAACTTTTAACAATAATGCAAGCTAAAACATTAGAAAGATTTATATTTTGTATGCACAATTACTTGAGTAGAAAATTTTAAAGGAAATATAGAATCATTAAATCTGAGAAAAGTGTTCAAAGCAGAAACGGTAAAAAAGTATTCTACTCAAATTCTTTTACCCTTTTAAACTTTGTAGTGGCTTTTATACTGGAACATTGAAATTAATTACTATACTAACATTTTGTAAGCTGTATAAAAACAAGCTTACAGTTTAAGAATTCTGAAAGTGTGAATAATTAATCTAACTTAACCAGTCTGGCTTGTTAAGAATAGAACATGATGTCATAGGTTATTATAAAATACCTTGTCTTCAAACTTTAATAGTGTTTCTTATCTGATGTATTGAAAGACTTGGATCTCATGATAATTTGGTCATCCTTATTTCATTTTTAAATTACTGGTTGCTGTGTTTTGTATGGAAATTTAATGGACAGTATTTACAATATGGTCTAAATTGCTGTTGGAGAAATATTATATTAGATATATTTTCTAATTGATAACTTTTATGCTGCAAATTTATTTTAATTTGCATCATTTTAGAGACTTTGCATAATGTGTTTTAATATTGCATACACATTAAATATAAATTTATTGTAATTATTTAGATGCTAATTATGTCATATGGTCCATTTTAATCTGTATAAAATATTTTACCGCACAAAATCAAATCTAAAAGTTAAAGAATATGATCTGATAACACACTGTTGCCTGAGGATTCTTCTTTGGTTCTTGCTCTTATGATCAGTTAGAATAAAGTGGTTTGTGTGTCTCTTTGTGTTGCAGCATATATTTGTATTGATTGGGGTTTGTGGTGGATTTTTTGGTTGCTTTTTTTTTTTTTCCAGAAAACAGTTGACAAACACTCAGGACATATAATTAGCATGGAAGACTTCAAGGCAATTTATCGAGCTATTGTACACAGATCTGAATTTCAGGAACTATTCCGGGCTTACTCGCCAGACGGCAAAATTCTCCCTGACAGCCAGCTCATTAAATTTCTTGTGAAAGAACAGTTTTACACTGAAGCCACTGAAACAACTGCCTTTGAACTTATTTCAAAGTATGAACCCATTGATGAAGGTATGCATGGCTTAAGTATTTTTAAAAGCAATCCCTTTTTGTGTATTTATTATTTTTTTCTGTG